ATAATGGGAACTATCTCCTTTAATTTGGAGGCACTAAATGTAGGGTTTAAAATTGAACGAGCACGCTTCCAAGCATCATCTCTGGCACCAAACAAACCTTTGTTGAGGGGTGGATTACCGGCTATAAACTCTGGCCTGTTTCTGAATTTATCAAAATCCTTGACAAGAATCCTTTTAAGCATTTCTAGATCTGTTACTGCTATTATAGGATCTCTTCCAAGGTACATCTTGTAAACCTTGCCGTATTTTTTGTCGTACTCCAGAAAGGTATTGTGCAAGCCGCCATACTTGAAGGCATCTAAGAGGTTGCCAACGTAAGGCCAAGGTTTAGGCCCTGGTAGAGCAACATGACTTATTAGAGAATAGCTCGAAACACCCATCCAATAAATAAGCCATAAAGAAATTATTAACACGCTTAGCCAGAAAGGAAGACTTGGTAGTACTTCAACCACATGGGCTAACATTTTTCCTTAACTTAGTTACTTTTTCACCGGCCTGCAGACTTTGAGACTAAAATATTGCGTGTCAAACTAATTTTAGATATTTTACGCATGACATAAGTCTCTTCTTTAAAACGATTACATCTGTCAAAACAATATAAATTTTAACCCCTTTTCTTATTACATTTGGACGGCAAAAAATCTCAACGATTCTTTTCTCTTTGATTTTACTTGTCTTGTACTATTACGAATGATCAGCTGAATCATTATTCTTCTCGAATGCAATAAAATCAAATATTCGTCAATTAATAAGCCGCCATACTGTCAACAGTCGCAACTTCTGATCTTGTCTGTTTCAATGACAGGTATGGTAGAATTTACATCTATTTGAGGGAGCTTAACGGAACTGGGGTTCTATACCCTACTAGCCGCTCAAGTAGTAAATAACAGCAAGAGCTTATTGATTGTACTTAGTGCTTCGGAATAAACAATGGTTATAACGGACATATAGCATTCAGAAACAGCGTAGGTGTTAATGAAAGATAAATGGAAACTAATTGTTTGTTGAAAGCGATTAAACAGAGTGGGTGGGAGACTTGGTTCACGGTTGGAGGGTAAAAGCCTTTTGTGATGTCTTCTCATGACCTTGAGAATTTTGACCTTGAGAACCTTGAGTACTTTCCGAAACCTTTCTTAATGTTAAGTTTTACTGAGTTGTGTTCACAGTGAAATAAATTATAATTAGTAATAGTAACAGGACTGAGTGGAGTCCAATTCGGTCTGTAATCATACGAGTAATTAACAAAATCCGACGACCGCTCAGCGGGAGTCCGATTTGTTTAATCACAAGTCTGATTTATACAGACCGAATTGGACGACACGAAGTTCTGTTACCAATTAATCATAACTATAACAAAATTTGTGATATATTAGGCTCCTTTTTAACTCGTGGGTACGCGCGAGCGTACCACGAGTTATTGCAGGGACTGAGATATGCAAATGAGTCACTCACTCACTCGTAGTAGACGCACTTCGTAATTAATCGGGTCCGAACTCGAGAGCGCGAAGATCTATCGTTTCCAAAGAAGCACGCACTCGCCGAAGTTCGGTAGCATCAAATTCCTTGCTGCGAGCGTGCATCGTGCGCTACAGCACGGTTAGGATAGAGGTCTTACCAAATTTAAGACAGGCAGGAATCTTTCAAATTAGTACGATTCAAAAGTCGACAAAAGCCTTTGACCCGTCCAGGCGTTAAACTTGACAAGAAGATGAGCATTTGCCCTTCGACTCCTTCAACTTCGACGCTGGCTTGATCTCCTACCTTGTAGTACTGTAGTAGGTTATGTGTACGAATGAATTTATGGCGCTCAGTGTAAAACACCGACTGCGGACTACGGACTGCGGACTGGGTATAAAATACGGACCTATAAAATATGGACTGGTGAAATGTATGGTAAATAAAGGCACTTCTTCTTCTTCTTCTAAAGGACTCCCCAAGATCACGGGGGGAAATGGATGTGAGTTTGAGCATTACCTTTTTAAAATAACAGCGGAAATCGAGATAAGAAAACATCAGCTAATGTTTTGCGTCCTACTTCGCGGAGGAGTTGTGTCGGCATTGTATCGCATATGTTCTTTCATTGCCATGAAATGCGTTTACATTGTTTTTTACTGTCAGTAGCCTGGTTTCAATTAGCCTTAATTTCATCTCATTGCTTCGAGTCGTTTTTATGGCCGATCGTTTGCCGGCGGAAGTTCCATGGAAAAGGCATTAAATATGAGACTTTTTCCTCGATTACACGATCATCCTCAATGGCGTAGTGGCTATGCGAGGTCGGGTCAAACTGAAGGCGCCGGGTTCTAACCCCGCTTTGGACCTTCTTTTTCCGTTCTTCCTTTTTTTTTTTTCTTTTTTGTTTTGTCTTGTTTGCTTATTTGTTTTGCTGTTTTTTTTGTTTTGTTTTTAAATGTATACTTAAATAACTGTTACTAACGTGCAATAAACAGCAAGAAAAGTATTGTGTTTCCAGGATAGTATATTTATAATATGAATTTCTATCATTTCCTAAAATTCACTGTGGGAAAACCAGAGGTGATAACTAATTGATTATTTTCTAAACAACGTACCCACGAGTTGACGATAGTCTTTCTTTGATTTTAAAATCAAAACACAAGAAATTCAGAGATTTTTTTGCTAGCAGTGAAAACAAAAAAGTTATTTAAGCGCGTGATGCTGTCCAATTACTTAGGCATGACGTGTACTGTCCTATTTAACGGCTGAAATCAGGGCAGTTGATAGCCAATCAGATTTAAGAAGTTTGTTATAGTTATGATTAATGGATTAATTGTGCCAATTATGTTATTTGCAAAGCAAAATATGTAGAATCGAGTTACTTTAAAGTGGCAAACACTTTTCAGGTACTAGTTCTAGGTTTTGCCTGATATTTCAATGTCACATAGTAGCCTGTCAGTCTCTCCATAATGACTTAGAGCACGTGCGAAGAATATAAGGATGATTATACCAAGAAAAGTGCTATTTTGCCTCCACTACAGAACCGAACACAAAAAACAACACCTGGAGGCATGGGCGCGTCAGCCAGCCAGGCCCAAGATACACTTTATTAACTCACGTGAAAAACTCCACTGTTACAGTAATTCCAAGAACACGCCATAGCTGGACACGTAAACCCGAAAAAACCAACTATTGGAAAAATAGGGACCGTGTAACCCCAATCTATGCTATGGCGTCGCCTTTGGGGTTATAAGACAAAACAAATAAAAGCAGAAAACGAGATGCTACATAAAATAGCTAAGAAATGTAGGGACCAGTACAGATGGCAACGAAATTAAGGCTAACAGAATAAGTGAAAACTAAACTAAACAAAGTTGACGCGGCGAGGCTGACCGTAGAATGTGCACGCATAACTAAATGGTCACTATATCAAACCCCCTAACCGCGATCCCTCGCACACTACACTAGAATCCAGACCTCTGTTCCGTACCGGCAAAATAATAATTTATGTCAGTTCTAATTTACACAAATTATATTTTTTTTACCACATGAGCTTGCCGACAAAGAACATGCATGTATGAGAGAATCATAAGAGACATTTTACTGATCTTTAACGAATTTAGAGTTGCTCCTTTGTGATTTATGTGCAATTTATACCTGGATTTTTGAAGACCGAATTAACAAAAAAGGCATTCTACTACTTGACAACTTAAAACAATAAAAAATCATTCAAAGGCCGATCGCGATTCAATAATCAGTCAACGGCCGATTTTGAGCCCCTGGTCTAATAACTCCCACCTAGCACCCGAAGAAGAACAATGACGATGATGCTGTCCACAAGCCAGATGTCTCGTGTACATAGTTTCGATAAGAATCGACCAGCTATTACAATCTCAGATAGTTTATTAGAATATGTAAATGTAAGTAAGCTTCTTGGTGACCATTTTCACCAGCATCTTAACTGGGATGAACACGTGCAAGCAACGTGTAAGAGCTGTTACGGAACAAGCTTTGCAGGTTATAGACTCAGAAAGCACTTAGTAGAGTCACTTGTTACAGAAGTAAATGCGCTCTTTTCGTGAATAATCTTTTAGGTTCTAAAAATTGTAAAGTTACGTAAATATGCAAACTGATAAGATCAACCATCTTTTAATTAACTAGTTTTATTACGATGGAAGATGGACAGCTGATGTTTTAATATATTAACAGTTATCTCTTTTGGAATCAGCTGAATCAGCACTTTAATAATCGGGCATCTTGTCCCCAACTTTGACATTGGTTTTCCTTTATAATTAATTTCTATCTTTAGTGTTAATTTAACGTTAATGAGTAAAGCCTGTAATCAGATAAGTTAAAAGGGATAGACTTACCCTGGGTGCCAGAGACGTTTGTAGCGCGGTTTCCGGTTTCTGTCAAGTCTTTATAGTGACTCGCGGCTTTGGCCTACGGCCGATGATGTTCGGCCGACACCGAAAATTCCCGCCGCACGCGAGGAAAACCACTGGTACCCAGGGTAGGTTAGACTATAAAAACAGCAAAAATCTGTGATTAATCGGATAGAGAAGAACACGAATAGTAAGAACTAAGGGATAAAAAGAAGACAAGGAACTGAGAAAGATAAGAGAAGAAAAGTGAAGGGACAGAGAAACTGTCAGCGAATAAGAAACTCAGTTTAGGAAACTGTAAGTCTTTTACTTAAAAACAAATCCTATTGTCCTTCTGAGAACGACTCCATCACTACGTCCTGGTCGAGCAAAACTTCATTGCGTATCACATTAGTGCTGTCAAAACTTGACCATTGTGACACTGTCTATTACCCTTTGGCGGAATTTCAACTAAAACGTTTACGTGTCCAGCTAGTAGCTGCTAGTTTTGTCCTGAGTAGGTATATAAATGAAACTAATGATATTGTTAAGATAGGGTGGTTACCATAATACCATTGCTACCATAATTCACTTGTACATTAAATTAGCCTTTCGCTTAACCCTTCAAACTGATAAATTGTCCCAACCAAGCGAGTTAAGAAGAAATCTGGAACTAGTATAATAGCTAGATTTGGTGATAACTCTGATAGCACGATCTTGAAGTTTTTGAAGTTTCCCACTAAGCTGTTGGGTCAAGCAATCCCATACAGCGTTGCAATAATCGAAGTGTGGCTCAATAAGACCTTTGTATATTTTAATTGCAGTGTGCGTTGAAACAAATGGCCTGACCTGCTTCAACCTTCATGTTTCACACAAGCGAAATATTTTTAAATAACTCGGAAAAACCCAGCCTATTGGCAGATAAAGACCTCTTGACTTTTCTCTTACACTTGTTTTAATCAAGTTCCCGTATGTCCGGTAACACGGTCAGCAGACCAGCCGAGAAACACCAGAAAAAATGTCTTGGCCCGGGTCAAATTTCCCCGGCAATTTTGCTCTCGCCTAATTCATTTAACTCCTAAAATCCTGTTCCCGTGGCCAAAGACTTAGTGGTCTCCTTAGAAAAGCGAACAATATCGTAACTTTCT